TGCCAAAGAAAATTCCACGAACCTAGCACCATCTTTTTATACTTCTGCCACCAATTCTGCACTGTACTAGATATATACTTCTACTTATATGACTGACAACAACAAATTAGTTAATTAATTATAGAATTAAAATTACTAAGTACCACAACAAATGAAGGAGAATTTTCTGCTTTCGTACTCAATATAAGAAGAAAACAAAAATCGGAGGTAGAGTGTTAGGTATCAGTTCGGTTGTTTAGATCCAGTATTTGTATTAGAAAATCCATCAAATAAAGAATTATGTGTAAATATTTAATTGTGAACTCAGTAACTAAGACGAGCTATGAATTCGATAACTAGTTCAGAACTCATAAACTTTAAATCCCGGCTATGACTCTAATATGAATACGTGTATGTTGTAAAGTTAAGTAAACTTTACACCTATTTCCCTGCCTAGACAGGTTATAACTGAACTGAAGAATGATCAAATGGGGATTGTTAATTTCAGAATTTGGCCAAGAAAAGGCCAATTTTATGTCAAGGTGTTTAGTAAACTGATTTTGGTAGCTAAGCATATATAGGGTATTTCTCTTCTGTATCTAACAAGCCTAATGCTTGTTCACAAATGTATCTGCAAGAGGCTTAGTTTGGTCCTATTTTTGGTTGTGATGTGACATGGCACTCAATGAGAGTAATATATGATAACTAACATGTTATAATAAGTGAAACCAGAAACATCAACCTTCAATTAATATATTTCCCATAAATACGTGAAAATAGTACGGGCTAGTCAGTTTTCGGACTGGTAATTGAAAAATAATCAGCGCTTGCATAAAGTCATTGAAAACTAGCCACTACTTTGCTGAAACACGGAAAGTTTCAATATAATATGCTGAATTATGAAGCTCCATCGTATAATGTTGGAACTCCAACACACTGAAGTTCCAGCATAATATGCTAGACATTGGAGCTCGTGCATATAAACTTCCAGCTTATTATGTTAGAGCTCCAGCACATTATGCTGGAATCTCATATGTAAAAAATTCAAACTCCAGCACATTAAGGATGTTTTTATTAAGAATTTATCTTTACATAAAAAAGTGATAAATTTCGATTACTTTTGAAACTGTGACTATTTTTCAATTACCAATTATAAATCTAGCTAATTCTGATTATTTCCTTAGAATAGATATCTAGTCTTCCGTCTAGCTAGCGCCAAGGAAACACCTAATGAGCCAATTAATTTGTGATTATCTTAGGAAACACTTGGATGGCGCTTATTTGTGGATAATTTTTAATCTAAATCTCGTACGAAGATTTTCTTTTTTTCAACTACTACTCAAAGTCAACTCTTTGTTTCACCACATTTTACGATTTTAATTAGTTATATCGTGTTATTATTCTACTTTTTAATTACCTTATCAAGTTTAAGTTTCATTCACAGTTTAAAAAATATTTGCATAACAAGGTCAATTAAAAGGAAATTGTAAGTACTCTATAATAGCATTACTTGATAACCTAAAATAAATACTAAATAATTTCTGTAATAGTTTAAATTACGATAATGGCACGAACAATTTTTTACAGTGACAACATATATATACATATGTATAACTTAAATACTTAAATACTTATCTTAGACTTATTATTACGAAAGTTATTTATTGTTGTAGGTCAACTACTTATTCACTCCACCAGATGATGTTTAAAACCAACTATGAAATACTTGTGTTAGGCTGCCTTAATATACGGCTAAATCTTACTTTATATCCATTAATTTCAAACTATTTACCCATTAGTGCCCAGGCCCAAACTATTTACTACTCCTACCCATGTGCCCCAAACTATTTACCCGCCTTTATTATGTTCCTCTTCTTCTTCCTCATTTTACCTTCCTCCAATTCTTTGCTCAACTCCCCAACTGTGTCAAAACCCCATTCCGAAAATATTAGTTCAACTTCTCGCCCACTCTCAACCCCCTCTATCTCTATCTCTTTTTTCAATAGTATTTACTTTCAATTTATATGTTATAGTAAAGTTTTAAGGAAGAAAATAGTTTTTTTGAAGATTTATTGTTTGATTCGATGTGGTGCTATAAAATATTGCTTATAGTATCTTCGAGTAAGCTTCCCATATCTAAATTTTTGTGTGTATTTGAATATCCATCATTGTTGGGCTTGAAGCTCAATTTTATTTTTGAAGATTTCTTGTTTGATTCAAAGTGGGTGCTGTTAAATATTGCTTATAGTACCTTCTGGAAGTTCATACTGAAATTTGATAGCATTGGAGCTGATTTGAGGTGATTGAGATTGAAATTTTCAGTTGAAAATCGAAGAAGAACACAGCTACAGTATACCGCTACAGTATACAATATGCTGTAGGAGTATATAGTTATACTGCAATAGTATACTATTATAGTATACAATATATTGTTATAGTATACTATAATAATATGCAATATACTGTAACAATATGTTGTAATAGTATACAATATACTATAATAGTATACTTATTACCCGTAAATTCACTTGCCTTTTTCCTTTTAATTTGCTTTAAGCTTTTACCCAGCGTGAGAGGCAAATTGAAAATGCAAAAAAAATATTATAGTATGCTATATAATGTAACGGTATACTCTTACAATTAGATCATTTTAGAATTTTTTGAAATTATTATTGACAACTGATATTATTTCAGTTTAATAATTGAATTAAACTTTTTTTAACTCTTTGCGTACAATTGTATACCCTGTTGGTATAACTATATACTATACTGGTATCATATGTTAGTTAATATTTTGTTGGTTGTATTAGCTACATTTAATTGGTACACAATTTGATTTTTCTTTAGTAATAATATTAAAAAAAAGAATAATCAAAAATAGTAAAAACAGTAAATGAAATTAGATTATGAAAAGAGAAAAATTATAAAAAAAAGAAGTTAAATGAAATTAGAGAAAAAAAAGAAAAAAAAGAAGAAAACGAGAAAAAAGAAAAGGANATATATATATATATATATATATATATATATATATATATATATATATATATATATATATATATAAAGAATAATAAAAAATAGTGAAAATAGTAAATGAAATTAGATTATGAAGAGAAAAAGAATATAAAAAAAAAAAGAAGTTAAATGAAATTAGAATAGGAAAAAAGAAAAAAATAAGAAGAAAACGAGAAAAAAAAAAGAAGAAAAGAAAAAAAAAGAAAAAAGAAAAGAAAAGAAACATAGAAATAAAAAAAAAAATTGGAGAATAAAGAAAAAATTCCCCACAAAACCTACCATGGGTAGGAAATATAATTAGTTAATGGGTAGAAAAACAAATGGGTAGACAAGGGTAAATAGTTTTATTTTTGTGGGTAACCCATTAATATACGCAACAAATTGTTGGATGAACTGCTGATATTGATCAAACGCCGCAAATTTCTCTACAAGTTCAAGTTCAAGCTTAAGAACGAAAAACAAATCAAGATTTAAGAAGTAAGAGTTCAAATTAAAGTTCGTGCTAGTTGAATTCAAAATCATCGTTCGTGGCAACAACTACAAATTCAAGATCAAGTCAAAGGCCCTTGAATTTATTTAGCCAAAATTTCACGGTATAGCCAGTTTTCGGACTGGTCAATCAAAAATGGCCAGCGTTTACCAAGTCAATGAAAAATAGCCACCGTTTTGCTGCGATAGAGACCGGTCCAGCATAATATACTGGAGTTCGGTGCACTTGTGTATGAACTCCAACATATTATGTTGGACCGGTATACTTTGCTGGCTCCAGTATAATATACTGGAGACTGGAGCATTGGTGCTCCAAACTCCAGTATATTATACTGGACCATTATACTTGCTGGAAGTCCAGTATATTATGCTAGAGTTCTAGTGTATTTATGCTGGAACTCCATCATATTATACTGGAGTTTTTTTCCGGGTTCTGAACAGTATTTTCGCTCAGATTTATCTTTACATAAAAAGTGGCTAAATTTCGATTACTTTTGAAATTGGGCTACTTTTGAACGACCAGTTGTAAATCTGGCTATTTTTAAAAATCACCCATTTATTTACTGTTGAAAAGAAGAATCAGAAGATCCATAGAGATTGTAACGCTCAAATTATTTGAAATCAAATATTACGATTGTTGCAATATTTTCGGTCTTGATTATATTTTCTCGACGCAATTAATTGTCTACAGATACAACTAGGTCGTGAACAACCAACCATCGTACTGTAAAAATTGGATAGGTTCGATCTATAGTCATTAGGGCCTCCTAAAACGATCTACTAAATTCATCGAGTTGTTAGAAAGGATCAAAACAGCAAGTTATTAATAGAGTTCCTTGTCGGCTCTCTCAAAAATACTCGTCTTTTTTTAAAAGGTTCTTTACTTGGTCGAATTGTGTAAATATGGTGGTTATACCCTCCAACTCTTACCTAATATTATTTAGTATCATAGGCGGATCCAGGATCTCAAGTTTATTAGCTTGTACCGTAATCTCAAATTAATATATGATAATAACTGAGTTCACTATTTAGACACGTGGCTTTGAAATGAGGGCAAAAAGAACCACTTTTGTAACGGCAAGAACATGATATTATAAAGGACAAATGTGGACCATTTCGCATATTTGAGGAGTAAATATGGACCTTTTCCCTTAAATCTAACTAAGAGATGCCCTTGTCAAAATTAGGAAGGTATAAATTTTTTTTGGAAAATTTGGGAAACCCGCAGCCGCTACCCTTCCGGTGTGCACTAGTAACTTGCTCACTGTGCAATAGCTCGCAAACCACACAGGAAATGTAAACCGCACTAGGCATGCCCGGTGCGACGAGCTCTCACTGAGGAGGTTGCTGATGAGGGGAAGCGATCCCAGGTCTCCCATGTGGGAAATCACTCCCCCAACCAACTCAGCCAACCCTTGCGGGCTAATGAAGGTATAAACTTGTGAATTTACAGACATGAATTTCTGCCATATAAAAAACTCGTATATAACTTCTTTTTCGCTGGAAAATCTAGCACACAATGGAGAAAAAGTAGAGAAATTTGTTGAACCAGCTGCAGAAAGTTCCTTATTACATCAAAGTAAGGAGCAACATAAACAAAGTCATTTAGTTACAGCTACAAACTTAACCATATTTACATTTTCTTCAGGAATAAAAAGACTAAATTCAGAGAAATGTCAATAGCTTTTGAGCTATATGAGTACATCCGAACGCGTCAACTAGGAAATTAATCAGGAAAAGAGATCACTGACCTGCCAAATCATTGAAGTCCATGCCCACGTGCCATGGTTGAAGTCCCCAGACCCCACTTGTGGGATTGCACCGGGTTTTTTGTTGTTGTTGTTGTATGCGTACGTGCCATTGTTCAAGCCATGGATAGAACAGACCGCTCATAAAGTTCATACGGCTGCATCCCACTTGAAGAGGCCTTGACAGGTTGTCCTGAGGCTCCAAAACACAAATATTGGTTCACCGACCTTTTATGTCCTGCGCTTTGTTTGTGTGTCAAGTCTGATGATACACCGTCTACCTGATTAGAACAAGACGGTCCAGAAAACTCAGTCTCAATTACAATTGCTTTTTGTTTGTCCAAGGAACTGCGCGAAGACAATGATGAAATCGAGAAAGAACTAGCACGAGGTGATCTACGAGGGAGGCTGAGATGTGGTATGGTTTGCATGACACCGTTTACTATCCCTGAAGCAAATTTCTTCTTTGCTGTTGGACTTGGAATGTTACTACTAGCAGAGAGCGTCCGTTTGTGGCTCGAGAGTGATGAAGGCTTGGAGTATCTTTCTCGAAGAGGGACTGGTGCCACGTCTGAATTACTTGCAGAACACTGATCAACCAATATCTTGACCTTCTTCGTATCTCTTTTTTTAATTTTTGGCCAATGGAAGAAGCGTTTCAGTTTTTCAGCTGCATGATCTGCGGAACCAGGTTTCTTGTCATTTCTAGAACAATAGCTATCGGGACTCATGTAGCGATGACTCAGCTCACTTGTGTTGCTAAGCTCAGTTTTTCTACTGTCCTCTGGTGCATGTTCAATGCCCGTGTATAAGAATATTTCAGTGTCAGAGATTCTAAAAGAAGTTCCGGGACTGCTGCTTATGTTTTGCATCTTTAAATGGGATGCGACAACTTTCCTTGCAGAATAATCATGATGACTAAAAATCCCCCCTGCAGAGATCAACTGTCTTGTAAGTAGCTCGGATGAAGCAGAACGTGGTCGTTGCCTCAGGATATCAAGTGGTGTCATTCCATCCTTATCACGAGTATTGACATTAATAGAGCGGACGGTCATAAGTAATTCCACAAGTTCAGAATGAATATTTCCAATGACAGCTAAATGAAGGGCAGTTCTACCGTCATTGTTTTCAGCGTTGACAATTTCTTCAATATTGAAAATTTTTCCACAAACTAATTGCTTCATAAGATCAATTTGACGGTCCAATCTCCGGAAATAAGGATTTTGGAAACCAGTAATGGCAACATGAAGAAATGTGTCTCCAGCAGTGTTTCTTGAGTTCACCAATGAAGGTGAAGCAACGATGAGAGCTTCAACAACAGCTAATTGGCCCCTCGAAGCAGCCACATGTAATGCAGTATTGCCTTGATTGTCTATGGAGTTGATAATATCAGAACTTTTTAAAAGATATTTAACAACCTGCACCGATAAAATAGAGCAAATGAAGGACATAAATATTGCCTAACCATTATGAGGTATTGTTCAAACATGACAAACATAACAAGTATAAATAACCACCACATCAGAGATTAATCATTTACTATTAGATGATAATATGATATCTGAAATCCAACTAAAACTTCTCGGTTTCATTAATGGGATGCAAACCATCTGCATATTCTTTCTGTTCTCTGACTACGCAAAAAGCAAAGCTCAGTAGAAAAGTTCAATTGGTGAAGTAAAGGTGCAAATCCATTTGAAATGCCGGGTTAACATGTATCACTATTTAGCATTGGCTTAAACGCTCATATAAGTATAGTTAACAAAAGCAATTGGTCATCTCCGTTGGATGTCAGAATCGGGGACTGAAATGGGAAATGCTTAGGAAATCTGAGACTCAGAAAACCTAGTAGGAGAAATTTCTACAGTAAACATATTCACTAAAGGTAAAGGAGTTCCCAAGAAATTAAACAAAGCAAGATAAATCCTGGTTTTACCACTTCATACTAATATGAGCGATGAAGTCTAATAACTTATGGTAAAATTAAGACGCTCATTCTCTTTGAGGTATAAAATGGCTAGTTAAAGTAGAAAAGTTGCTGAGATTTGTTGCAATTAGACTACCAAATATTACTTAATAGTTGATCTTGCTACACAAATAGTAAGCATATATACTGTAACACATAGCTCCGCCACTGCCTGTATTGATTTGTAACAAAACGAGAAACCAAACCTAGCAACATAAATCTGCAAAAGCTCAAACTAGTAAGCAAGCAAATCCTACCTCGACCTGGCCTTTGCCAGCGGCCGTATGTAAGAGAGTTGCACCTTGAATGTCTCTGTAAGCCAATATATCATCAGAACAGTCAGCAATAATCTCCTTCAGCATCTTCACATTGCCTCCTCTAGCAGCCGCATGAATAGCTCTATTCATCATCTCCCACTTATAAGCAGACGGAATCTCCCCAATCTGTTCCTCCGACCCTCTACCACCACGCGCTATAAACCTCGGTGATACAGCAAAATCAAACAAAACCTTAAACACATCACAACATTTACTCCTAGCAGCAGCATATAATATATCCGTGACACCATACTCTCCTTCTCCAAATACCAAAAGGGAGTCTTTTTCGAGCAATTCTCGAACAAAATCCAAGTCTCCAGCAGAGGCAGCAGTATACAAAAGCCATCCACCATATCCAGCTTTAAGTAGGGAATTTTTCCCTTTCTTGTTCTCACATTCAAGAAGCAACTTCTTTGCAACTTGTGACCGGCATTTAGCCACATCATCAAACTGTTCTTCATCATCCCAAACAGACTCGAGTCGCCTTATCCTACGTAGTGAAGTGAGCTTGATAACGTGATTTCCATCTAGGCGAAGAAGCTCTCGGACCAAATCATAGTGACCATTTGCAGCTGCCCAATCAATTGGTGCAGCATACCACCATTGGTCCCCAGTACTCTCCCATCGAAGAGGTAAATACGTTGGAGGCATTGCAATGGCAAGAATATCAAGACCCGAAAAACTTCAGCTACAAACACAAAGAACAAATCTTTCAGGGGTTTAACTCAAGAAGATGACACACGAAGATCAAGCAAAGGTAGGATGGAGCTCATATAATACGGGTTCAACTGAATCCACTATTTTCAACACGAATGTAGAAGTTTAGTAAATAATCACTAAAATTTCAATAAATACTAAATTCTGAACCCATAATTACAAGTAATTCAGTGCTAAACATCTTAAAGGTTAAACCCATATAGTTTAAATTCTTGATCGACCTCTGGAATCAAGACCCGAGAGATTTTTCTAGGCCAAAAATGTCCCAATTCCCAACTACTTCTAATTGAAAAGGGCTTATTCCCTTCTCCTATTAAAGATTCTGAAACAAGAAAATACAACAATTGATTAATGCATGAAGATAGGATTGACAAAAAGGTGACAACAGCTCAAATGTAATTATGAGGAGAGGACCCTACTAGATTTCAAGCCCAAAAAAAAAAAAAAGAACCGAAAAAAAAAAGAGAGTAAAGGTGAATGAAAGGAAAGGTTAAGGAAAAAGTTAGAAACTTTAAAACTTAGAGTATACACAACGAATAGGCTTACCACCAGAAGGAATGAGAATACCGACTAGAAATATCAACAAACAAAAACAATTGAAGAATAACAGAATACAAACAAGCTAAAGCATCAATTTTTCTTCTATATAATTAAAGAAGATGAGAAAACAGAAAGTATCAGTAATAAAATACAGAAATACTAACCTTACTATAACAATTGTGCTCTACAGCAAAAGAAAATAGGGCTATCAGATACTTTTGTACAGTACTTTTGCTGAAAATTTTCCAAGTAAAAAAAGAGGACGAAGTCACAACAAGATAAAAGTGTGGTAGTAAGCACGTAGGAGTTTCATGAAAAGGGAGGAAAGATTCTTACTTATTGAAATGTGAAATTTGATGGAATTGATAATGATGGTTGAATGTCAAAAGCACGCCAGAAACGGGGTGGGTGGGTGGGGTGGGGGTGGGGGGGGGTGCTTGGTAAATTGGGAAAGCTGAAACTGAGAAAGTGACTAAAGTGGAAAGGGGGGTAATGGCGGGGGCGGCAAAATTAAAAACGCGGGACTGTTAGTTAATGTTCAATGTTCCTGTTGTCGCTGTCGGATCAGATATTTGATTGTTACATTTATGTGATTTATTTATCTATTATTATATACTTTTATTTATATTACTTTTTTCATACCAGATTGGTAAAAGATAATAGAAAGGATTTCTAAATAAAACATATGAGATTCTTGTAAGGTCATATTTTTTTTTATCTAAACTAAGATTGATCATAAGAGATTAATTTCTTTTTATTTTTTTAACGATCGGAAAAAGTAGTCTAATTTTGTATGTTGTCATATTTTCTCAACATTTGCTAGTTGACCACCAAAGGATGTCAACAAGAGGTCTCGAAATCGAGTTTTTTGTATGAAAAAATTCTTGGTAAGGAGCGCTTACCCCCGAATGAGGCCCTATCTTGTAGGAATTTGGATATAATCGGGCTCTAATACGACTACCCGACATCGAATAGGAAATCAAAAACAAATTGCTAGTTGAATTAAGTATGGGCATCATTTCCTCTTTTTTGGAAAGTAAGTAATGATTGATTCAAATATGGACGATAAACACATATTGCATTTTTGTGGGTCAAAATTGAATATGAAGTTAGATTAAAAAATATTAAATTGAGAAGTCTTAAGTTGGGAATATACCCATGCTTCAGTAGTTAATCAACTACTCCATCCGGTGTACGATAAGTGACTAATTTATTTTGGACAGACCCATTAAGAAAATATTAAAATCTAGACAAAAATAATTAGTGTTACTAAATTACCCTTAATTAAATATTGTAGCATAATTTAATGTGAGGAGTAAAAGACTTTTTAAGGATACGTGCATAAGGGTAATTTTCGAAAAATAAATTAATCTTTTTCTTGATTATATAAATGGACACTTATTTTGGACCAAAATAAAAAGATAAATTGGTCATTTATTGTGGACTGGAGGGAGTATAAGCTGGTTTTTGAGCGAGATGACATATGTTTGGCCATAGATTTTGCCTACAATTGGCAAAACCTCAAATCTCAAATCCAACTCAATAGCTGATTTTGGGCCAAAATATCACTATTACATATTTTTAAAAATTGACCCAAACTCTTTGTATTTTATAAAAGAGCCCACCATTTATTATTTTGTAACAATGTTGCTTCGTCTTCTCGGTCATCTGATATTGTATCATGTAGTTAAAATGATAATTTTGTACCAAATTTATTTATGTTCAGGACTATGGTTGCGATAATATAATAAATGTTATTGATAATGGTACTGTTGGGTATTCGTGATAGTTTTTAGAACTTGTGGGTATAAGTCATGTTTCATATTTTTCAAAATAAATTTGGGAAATATGTTTTGAAAACTGATGTCCAAACACATTTTCATCTTCAAACCAAACTTCACCCAAATCAAATTTTTTAAAACAAATTTGAGAATTTATGGCCAAACGCTAGCTAAGTAAGAAAACATGATAGTATTATTATTCGAGTACAAGTTATATTTCCTCCGTCCAGGATAAAAAAAAAAAAGTACTTCATTTTATTGTACATGAAAAGAGAGAGAAAGGGAGAGAGTATGATAGAATATATGTAGGTATGTAAAATGTACTTTTTCCGTCCCAATTTATGTTGTACTGTTTGATTAGGCACGAAATTAAAGAAAATTATTTTTTGAAATTTGTAGTCTAAAGTATAAAAATGTGTGTATCTATAGATTATCTCATTAAGAATAAAAGGATTGGTTTAAAGTTTAATTATTTTTAAATAAGAAAGTATAAAAAATTTTACGTGACAGGCTAAAAAAAGAAAGTATGATGCATAAATTAAGAAAAATAAAATAATACTCTCTAATGGCACATAAATTGAGATCGGTGAAGTAATATTCTCCATATTTATATATTTCAATATGTCAATGGCTTGCGTATCCGAAATTTATTGAGGCAAACGGTCCTTGACAATATTGGAAAAAGACCAAATAAATGGAATAAGCAAAAATGGCTTTTATACCCGAAATTTTGGTTGGCAAACGCTTGTGTTGACAATGGAAAAAGACCAAACCATTACCCATATATATTTTCTATTTTTTGGTATGTATTCAATGTCATGGTCGGTTTGACAATAACTAATAGTGATGAAATTTTTCTCTCCATTTTTCTATCTTCCCTCTCATTTTTTTTCCTTTACTTGACGCGTTCTTTATCCAAAATCACGCGATTAATTCGGATTTGTATCGGGTAAGATCTATTAAAGAAGACCCGCTTTCTAGCAGAAGTTTCTGTATTACGGAACCTGATGTTTGTTTAAGAATGAAGAGATTTCAATCATCCCACCACATTCTTTGGCGATAACGATAATATATACATATATTAAAGTGAAATACTCAATTAGTTCAAGCATCAACTTACAACCTTTTATGTTTTAGCCCCTCCTCCTAACCCCCTGCATCAATTTTGCTATAAGTTTAATTTATAACTTTCTTTCTTGTATTAATTAATACTCTTTCTGATTCAATTTAGACGACACATTTTCTGTATTAGTCCGTTCCAAAAAGAATGACACATTTTCACAATTGAAATAATTTAACTTCAAACTCTTTATTTTACACTTAATGAGAAGCCTTTATAACCATAAAAATGTCATGGCCCCACAAAGCTTTTACGCCTTAAGCTTTTAAGACCGCAAGTTTTTAAATTTTTTTTCTTAAACTTCGTACCACGTCAAACTACCTTATCTAAATTGAAAGTATTATATATTTTAGAGAACCGACCAAGATATGGACCGCCATCAATCTTTCCACGAGCCTATCACACTCTTTATAGGATATGCACATGTGGAAAAAGCAGCTTTAGCCTTTAAGATCTGAAATGAGTCAAAAAGTGAAGAGATAAGAGTCATAGTATATTGTAGGCTCTTGCTTTTAGCAGCAATTATAATGAATGTGATTGTCAAATTTAACTCATTGCTTACACTACTTTTTCACTAGTCCTTTTCATTTTCTCCTTTATATGTTTGGTCAAAACGCCACAACATCACATGCATGAGCACAAAATATATATCTACTAAAATACTGGAATTAGCTACGAGTTTCGTCGCTAGTCTACTGCTAAATCGCTCGCAGCTAACAGTATTTTTGATATTCTATCGCTAAATCGGATTAGTGACAAATTTTTTGATTTAGCTACAGAATTTTTTCGTCGCTAAATCCTGTTTTTTAGTAGTAATAGAGTGAGTTCAGAGTTGATGGAGTATATCATACAAGTACATTGTTGCCATAACGACTCTATACCAATGGGGATAACATGCAATGTTCAGTCACAATATTAAAGCCATTTTTTTCTTCATGGCAACGCCCAAGACATTCCTAGAATCGAGGGTCTATTAGAAACAACCTCTCTATCTCATAAGGTATGAGTAAGGTCTACGCATATCTTATCCTTCGCAAACCACATTCATGAAATCACACTGAGTATGTTATTGTTGTTTTTCCAAGACTTCCCTAATATTTCCACCCAAATGTATGCTGAATTGGCACTTGCATTAGAGGGATGCTTAGGTCACTTCCTTCCATTAACTTTTTTAGATAACCTAAAGTTAAAGTTAGGTAATTAAGTAATCTTATGTCTTTATTCTATTGCTATTTCTATACTAGCATTTGAAATATATATATACATATATATATATATATATATATATATATATATATATATATATATATATATATATATATATGCATGCAATTTCTCATCTTGTTTTCTCTTGGCTTCTCAATGAACCTAAGTGATAATCCAAGATACGTTGGCTGACCATAGGCCAAACTGCAAAAAAGATTGAAGAAATAATGAAACAAAAGCAATCACTTGATGAGGGACATGTAAAAAGTGGGATGATTATATATGCATCTTATCCCACCAACCAACTTGATTTGGCCTTGGAAATGGGGAGCAAATGAAGGTGCATGTACATTCACACATCTGCAATTTCAGTCTTGTGTTATCATCAGCCTTAAATCATCAAAACTTATAAATACTAATAAAAAGGAAAATTGGACGTACAAAGTTTCCCCTTGTATTTTATCAAGAGGGTTTATACATGTTATAAAGTGTTTTGAAAGGCGTGGGCATAAGGCGAGAGGTTTTACATACGCCTCAAGCCCGAGGCATGGGACGTAAGTCCCATGAGTATTTAATTATTAATATTTTATAAAAGAATATATTTATAGTAAATATTTTTAAATAGGTAAAATTGAATAAAACTATAAATAAGTGAAAAAATATATTTAGATGTGCTCCATCCCCATAAAAACTAGTCAAAACAATCCATTATACGCTGCTTACAAGCACAAGTAACTTTTTTTTTTTGATAAGGTAAAATACAAGCACAAGTAACTTGAGTTGAAAAGAATAAAGTTCTCTACGTGGAGGAACAAAAATGATGACTAACCTTCAATTTGAACTTTGAAAGAGGAGATTGAGTTTTCTTTGCATTTGTAAAAAAAATAATAATTAATTGTTCGTTGCTTTTGAGAGATAGTAGCATACTAGTGGACAAGATAAAAATAATTGGGAAAGACCATAAATGTGACGGGCCAAAGGGGTCATCACCTGTTTCCTCATTCGTTCCATGCTTCCGAGGCCTTGAAAACCTCATTTTTACTTGCCTTGATTTGCGTGCGCAGTCCGGGCGCGTAGCCGGGAAGCTTTTATGTTGAAATATGTGAATTCTGTGAAAATTTTTAAGAATTTTGATATTAATATGATTAATGTTGACTTTGGTCAACATTTTTGGTAAACGGACCCGGACCCGAGATTGGACGGTCCCAGAATGTCCGTAGAAAAATATGGGACTCGGGCATGTGCCCGGAATCAAATTCC